GGTTTCCCAGGCAGTATAGCATGAATCCATTAGCTATTTGGAGGAAGTGATGACTGTTAGCACACCCAGAGAACTGAGAGCTGAGGTAGGGGGAAAACAGGCTGTTACAAGTGTCCAAACTCTGGCTTCTGCTCTAATTCTGGCCTTTAAGGGCTACTTTTTGGACAGTTTCTTACCATAGTATTTAGCACTGAATACTCACCACCATCATCCCAAGGAAACACTGCCCAAGGGCTCCCCACAGGCTTGGGGCCACCTCCAATGACTTCCTTTGCTCCAAGCCTAAGCCTGGTCATCAGTGTCCACCACAGCTGGCCCCACATTATTTTGCTCACTCCACATGCTGACTTCAGAGGTACACTCTCAAACTAGCCCTTTTCATTGCCCATTTTAATCTCACCATCTCCATGTGGTAGAGTAGCCCTGGCATAGGTAAGACAATGAGGAAGGGGGATGGAGAGAAAGTCCTGTAAGAGTTTTTAAATCCCCAGAGTGATCAAATATGGAGCCCCTCTGAACTATGAGAACTATGGGAAGGAAGGTCAGAAACACAGCCAGACCTCACCTCATCAGGGCCTCCCTTCCCAGGGAGAGCTGCCCACAATAGAGGGGGCTGCATGGCACTGTAGTGAGCTCCTGTCACTGGAGGGTCCAATCACTGACCAACAGTTGGCTACAGAAACCTCCTATCCCTAACCTGCCCATTCTGCAATCAGCACCTCCTCCAGGAAGTCCTCATGGGTCTCCGCTGTCCTCCCAGGAGTAGGCTGCATGACACAGTGATAACTTGGAAACTGGACACACCTGGGTCTGTGCCCTGGTTTTGCCCACATCTAGCTGGGTGGTCTTGGACAAGCTACCTAACCTCTTTGCCCTGTGGTTCTCTGATCAATCAAATGGGCCTCGTGACTGGAAAATAGGTGAGGGGTGGAGCTGAAAGGGATGACCACAGGGCTCAGTGATAAACTTTGCCCGCTCACCCTTCTGCCTCGGCCAGCCCCGAGAGGGTACCCCAGGCTTTCCCAGCTTGCTGGGGGCTCTGGGAAGGTTGAAGGAAAGATGGCTCCATTATGAGAGGCACAGGAGTTCCAGCAGGCCGTGAGCTGATCTGGTTTGGCTTTGTGGGCAACGGAGCACCACTGAGCTTCCAGGCTCTCTGGGGAAACGCTGCAGGCTGCCTGCCCACCTGCTTCGCTCTACCAGCCATCACATCCCAGCCACCCTCCCAGCAGCATCCTCCTTACAACTTCATTACTGACAGGTTTGCTCTGTCCCTCAAGGGCTGTTTTTCCATCCTGGGAAAGAGAGGAAATATGAAATGGAATTAGCTGGGGTAGGGCTTCCCTTGGGCCCCATTTTTCAGCCAAGGCTGGTGGAACTGACAAGTCCATGGCCAGACATTACAGTGGAGCAAGAGCCATTCAATAGCTTCATGCACATCACGGTCTCCAACCCCCATTCAGCTGTCTTGGACACGGCTGCCCAGCAGATGGGTTCTTGGGATAGAATCTTCCTAGGCACCAGGGGACCTGTAGCAGGGGTGCTGACAGCCTTCACATTAAATACCCATCTGTCAGAATTCAGGGTATACTTTCAGGGACATACAGACAGCCGATGAGGACTTACTCTCCCTAGCTCCCAGATGTCGGGGTCCTGACGCTTACAGTAGTGAGTTTAAAATCAACCAGAGACTCTCCCTCACAGTACAAGGACACCTAGCAAAATCAGAAGGAATGATGGAATTAGGAAATCATTTGGCAACCACCACAATTATTGTTTCAAGCAAGAATTATCAATAGAGTTTGAGAAAAAACAGAATATTGGCAAAGTCTCAGAGTATCTCCCCACAAGCTAGTTCTTAATTACAAAGGAAAAACTCATAACTTTACAGTGGAGAGACTTGCAAAGCTAATATCACTGGTCAGAGGACAAAGGACAGTAGGAGGCTTTTGATATGAGGCACTGGGAAGGGTACAACATCAGTGACATGTATACAACCGGAGTTTAATCAAGACTAAATATCAGAGAACCCCAAACAGAGGGACCTTCAATAAAAATAACTAGTCATTCTCAAAAAAGGCAATATTGTGAAATACAGACTTGGGAGCTGTTACCAGATTAAAAGAAACTAGAGAGACATGACAATTGTATGTAACTCGTGATCTAGATCGCTGGAGAAATTATGAATAAAGATGGAGGGAAGGTTAACAGTACTGTATCTATGTTAGTTTCTTGATTTTGATCGTTGTCCTGTGGCAATGAAATTAAAAGTCTTTCTAAAGAAATATACTGTGGAGTATTTAGCAGTAAAAAAGGCATCATTTTGGGAACTTAACTCTCCAACAGGTCAGAAAAAAATGTATATGAGAGAAAAATAAAGCAAATGTTAATATTTGAGGAATCTGCGTAAAGAATATAGGGAAATTCTTAGTAGTATTCTTGCAACTTTTCTGTGAGCCGGAAGTTCTATCCAATTCAAGTTTTAAAAAATGACCTGGATTTGGTTAGAAGGGGAGAAATGAAGAATGCATTCCACAAGTAACACTAGACTTCACAAAGGCTTGGTGGCAATTTTTTAAAGTCAATTTCTTGTGCTCTAGGCAAACCGAATAAAATACAATAATTCTGACTGCAGAGGGTCCACCTTCACCTAGCAGCAGGGAGAACTGCAGGGACCCCTCACCATAGGGTGGCCCCACTGGAGGTGAACACGGAGCTCACTGTGCATTTGTGTCCTTGATACCCACAGAAAGTCCTAAATGGAACTCAAGCATCTGGGCACAGTCTGAAGGGCGGCCAAACTCCCACATCCCAGGGGGACACAGGCCTGGGTGGACCCCATGCACCATCATAACCAAGTCCAGTTTGTCCTTTTGGATAAACTTGCAGAGCTGAGCATCTCAAAACAAGATTCTGTTCCTCAGGGTGGGCTGCAGGGCACCCACCAGGAGACCTAGTTCCTCAATGAATGGGAAAAAGGATGTATTTTTATACCTGTGGGAGCTGAGGCAGTTCAATGGGCTGGTTGTAGCCTTACTCGACTTTTTAGACTTGAGAGCTCCTCTCCCGGTAATATATCATCTTGCAAATACACTTAGGGATTTTACGAATACTTTGTCTTGGTACATACTTATATATATTTGTGTGTGTGTGTGTACGTACATATATATATATATACACATATTATACATATTTTTAGATGGTATATGATAAAGAAGTTATTTGGTTTTTAGATCAATATGTTACTGGGAGTAAATTATAAGGCTCAGGTTTCATATGGCCTTTAAAAACATCCATGAATCAAGTGATACCTTCTCCATTTATTTTGAGTTATGGAAGCAAAAGTATGATTTTTCTACAGAGAAATTTCAAAATCATTACACTGTGGCTTTGGCACCAGACACACATAATATGTAGGCTGGAGTTTGACTTTATAGGGCAGAAAAATAAACACAAAGCAAAAACTGATTTCGTGGGCCATTGTGTGGAACTTTTTTTTTTAAATAAAAATCAACTGGTATGTTTTTGTAATTTTCTTGCTTTGTTTCTAAATGATGAGACCCAAGAATTTACTGGAAGTGTTTGCAAGCATGGCTGTCCAAATAGCAGGGCGTGAGCTTGGAGGCCTTGGCTCCCCGTTAACAGAGGCAAGTGGCGCGTGAACTGACCTCTCTCCAGCCTGGACAGTGCAGCCCTGCAGGCCCTAGGAGCTGCCACATGGGGACTCTGACCAGGTGAATGGGACTCCCGGATCTGGGCAGAGCACCCAAGGCCAATGTGTAGAATTAGTACCGCTTGTTTGTTCCTTGTGAACTGACCTTTTAATACCAGTGTTCCTTAAAACTTCCTGCCTTTAACCAACTGTCCATTATGGGTAAAAATTAAATATTTGACTAAGAATAAAAATAATTTTGAACTGCGTAATGGTCAAAACCACCCATATGGCTCATGGGGCTACTGAGTGATGAATGGTCAAGGGGCTGAATCAATACTCAGCCTGCTCCTCTGCTCATCAGTCATCCCGGAAATGCTCACGCCACGGGCAGGGGCAGGGCCTCTTACTGCAAGGTTCTAAAGGTGGAAAGACACCCCTGGCATGAGGGTAGGAGCCTGACTCTAGGGCTAGCCAGGCCTGGGTTCAAATCAGGGCCTTGTTACCTCTCAGCTGTGTGCCCCTGGGCAAGGGCCTTAGTGGCCTGTGCCTCAATTTCCCATTTGTAAAAAGGGAGTATACTGATGAAAGGGGTATTGCTTAAGGTTCCGAGGGTTAAATGAGCTTCACTTGGCCCAGTGCCTGATGCAGAGCAAGGGCTGGATAGGAGCTCCCACCGCTGCTCAGCACTTCATCAGGAAAGAGCAGTAGTGACAAGTCAAGACTTTGGGCAGTGTCCTTGTCCTTGTGTGAACCCACAAGGCCTGAGCCCAGAAGATATCTCTCTGGCATCCCCAGGGTTCTTGGCCTCCTCCATGTGGCCTCAGGTCTGTGTCTCTAGTGTGGGGCGCTCAGAGGGTTTGGACTCTCCTGCTGGCCCCTGGAGGAGTCTCAAAGCCTTGGAAAACTGCCGGAGGCCTGAGCACTGGGCTCTCACCTGTCTGCCTCCTGCCCCAGGGCACCCATGCTGCTCCCCACTGTAATGTCCCCTAACCTGTCTTTCCCCTAACATGTCTTCTCTTGAGTCTCGGCGTGCTCAAGCCCACTCCCTAAGGGAACCATCCAGGCCACCCCGCCCAGGGTGAATGCTGTCCATCCCTAGGATCTTTCCCTGGAGTTGGTGGTAAATATCAGTGTTTGCAGCCTGTGCCCACAGCCCATTCCTGGAGCGGGAGCAGGGACCATGCTGTGTAACTCTGCCCTCTGCCAGGCTCACTACAGGAAGAATCAGGCTGCTCTGCAAACAGATGTTTGGCTTCTTACTGTGGGGTTATGGGAAGTGGTTTCAGAGACGGGGGGGGGCAGGAGCGTGTTTCAGAGACTGGGGAGTCAGGCCTCAGGGCGCCTCGGTCCCAGCAGCATTCACCAGCACCCTGCTTCCTTCCTATGCTGAACACGGCCCTGAGAGCAGGTGAGGGGGATGTGGGAGTGGCAGAGGGACAGTCTCTCAGCGCAGCCCAGAGAGCCCATTCTTTTCAGGTGGGAAACAAGGTGGGCCTCTACCTACCAGCCCTGGTCAGGAGAAGTGATGTGGGGAGGGGCGGGTGGGGCCAGGTACTAGCAAAGGTATCGGACAGGGCTAGGCCCACACAGGATTCACATTCTCGTTTCTGGTGGTGCATTAGACCCCCTGTGCACCCACTGCCTGGCAATGCGTATCAAAGGAGAGGGAGGGGCAAAGTATCAGAGAAGACAGGCCAGAGGACTTGGCCATAGGCTCCACTCCAGGTCTGTGGCTACCAGCTGTGTGCCTCTGGGTTACTGAAAACACCTCTCTGGGCCCCAGTTCCATTTTCTAATAGCAACTATGATGAGGAATGACACTTGAATGGTACTTTCTACATCCAAGGCACTGTTTTAAGACACAAATGAACTTACATTCAATCATTCCCCACAACTCTACAGCGTAGACAGTGACATTAATACTCTCATTTTACAGTTGACAAAACACGTATGGAGAAGGTAAGTAACTTGCTCAGGTCACACTGCTACCAAGCAGGAAGCTGGGGAGCCCATGCTGTCCTAAACTCACAGAGGGGCTGGAGGGAGCTGGAGAAAATGGTTTCTAGCACTCCATTAAGCTCTCACATAATAACACTTCTACCCCCCCACCCCCACCCGTTAGTAATCCTTTAATGGTTCGTTTTGGCTGCCCTGGGCTTCCCAGGAGCTCACCACCAAGCGGGTGGTGCAGGGAGCTGAGCCCATTGCTTCTGAAGCCAGAGCTTCTCTGCTTTCCAGGGACACAGGGCAGGCCAAGGGCAAGGACCTGAGAAGCCATAACATCCTGACCAATGGCTTTAAACCCTTCTTGCTCCTTGTCATCCGGCCATAAGAGCCACAGGGAAATGGAGGAACAACCAGTCTGCCCCTGGGGGTGGAGCCCAGGAAGCCCAGAGCCGGCCTTGCCACACAGGCTGACTTCTGTGAGGAGGAAGGAAGGCTGGCAGAGAGGCCCAGGCAGGGCCAGAGCTTGGGGAGGGGTCTGGCTGACTGAGACACAGGTGCACAGGCAGTGAGGGTAGGGTGGCTGGAAGACATGCTGGAAGTCGGGCTGGGGCCAGGCCTTGGGGGGCTCCGGATGCTGGTGGTGGAGAAGGGCAGGATTCCTGGTTCTGGCTGGAGCAAGCCTTCTCTGCGCCTAGAAGCTGGATGGTGGGAGTTGGGCTTCAGGGCTGGGCAGCCAGGCCAGGGAGCCACTGGGTCACTGGCTAAGCCAAGAGAGGCAGCCAGAGGCTGGGCTGAGAGGCAAAGAGGAGTCCGGGCCCTCTATTAGCCTGCCTGGATTCAGACCATGCCTCTGCCTCACTGGGCAACCCTGGGCAAGTTATGTCACCTTTCTCTATTTCAGCTTCCTCACCTGTAAAATGGGGATATAATGGTACCTACCTCAAAGTGTGGCTGAACTGATAATGTGCACTGAAGGTTGTGCAGCCCCTCAAACATGGACGGTGCTCTCTGAGAATGTATTAAATACAATGGGTAGGCCTGATGGACTTTGTGACATCAATAGGAAGCAATCTGGGCCACCCCAGATGGCCAGGCAGACATCTGAGGTGTGGGAGAGGACAGGACGCAGAGGGTGAGGAGCAGATAGGAGCATATATTCCAATACCAGTGGGTTCCCTCCCACGGTTCCTTAACAGAAGGACTGACTAAAGGCGTCTGTGAACTTTGAAACCGTAACTCATCACAGAGCAGTATCCCCCCAGGCCTCTCAGCTCCCTGTGGCCTCTGATACCTGCTTTCACCAGGCTGCCATTGTAGAATGCCACCCACCCAGTACGGGGGCTTGCTCCACTCCTGTGACTCTTCTGTGACTCTTTAAGGATGAGGAGACTGACAAGGGACAGAAAGTTTAGTCCATGGGCCAAAGTGTGCGGAGAGGCAGAGTGGGGTGGCCTGTGGCCTCTCCTGTGGATGCTGCCAAGCAGAGTGAAGGACCTTCCACCCATCAAGCTCCCGGAGTCTGTTCCTCCTGAAAGTGTCAAGGCCATGGTGAGTGGGCACGCTCACCTGGTGCCCAGCCTGTGGTTAGGCCTGACCCTCCAGACACCCTGGTTTCCTTCAATAGCCCATTTTGGCCTCTGCTAACTCTGTCCTGAAAGTCCCGTTGCCAAGTTTTGAAGGTTCCTAAGCCAAGAGGAATCATATCTACTTAACTGTCATTGGGGAGTACAAGGAGTAATTAATATTATCTTGCTGGTGACATTCAAGGAATTTCCATGTCAGATGCCAGGAGGTAGGAGAAACCTTAAAGACAGGGCGACCCATAGTCCAGGTCATCTGGGTCTGAGGGACTTTCCATGCTAAAATGGGACAGTACAGGGTAAACCAGGACAGCTAGCCCCCTAGTTAAAGACCAGCTGACTCAGTTCCCCTTGTAGGGCCAGTGAAGGAATGAAGGCCTTGAACGTTAGGTGGCCTGTTTGGCCCCTGCAATGACTTAGGGAGGGCGACAGAGTTCAGTGCACTGCAGTCCTGACTCCCAGACCATCATTGCTCTTCCCACCACCCCATCACGACATGGGGAGGGGAAGGGGTGGTAACACTGGGCAATGGCAGCCCTCCTCCACCACTGTGTGTTGACTCGAGGAGGGGCACCCAGCATTTACATACTCAAGGCCCACCCATGACCAGGCATGACGCAGGGAAGGCACCCAGAAGACACGTCAAGGATTCTTATTTGTGATGACTTGACCTGAACTTCACCTCCCAAGAAGGCTGTGCACATGACAAGGGTCACCACGACTCATCCCCTAGGGTCTTGCTTGAGGCTTAATGTTCCTTACCACCCACCTACCAGCTGGTTAATGACCCAGGCCCCCATCTTCCTTACAAAGCACACACAGTGGATGGGAAGAACTGACAATTCTTTCTGCTTCAAATATGCTTGCTGATGGTAGTCTCTCTTGGGTTGTCTGATAGACTTATTTCTGGGCTGTAGTAGGAAGACCTGCAGGAGGTGCTCCTGAGAGCTGGCATTAACTGAGCTGCTGAAAGGCCCTGAGAGGATTAAGTGAGTCACTTAAGGAGGGCTGGCTACCTCCTTGCCCATCACTCACTCTTCAAGGCTTATTGTAAGTCTACTATATGCCAGGCACTGGGGCTATGGGTGGGAGCAATTTGACAAAAAGCCCTGCTCTTGTGGAGCTTATCTTTTAGAAGGGAGGAACAGGTAATAAACAGAAAATTGGATCACACAGAATGTCAGAAGATAACCATTTCTATGGAGAATATGAAACTGGGAAGGAGGACTGGGAAACTGATGTATGGTGGAAGCATCCATGGGACAGGCTGTACTTTCACGGAGATGTAATTGAGCACAGACTTGAGGGAGAAGCCATGTAAATATCTGGGAGAGGAGGAATCCAGGTAGAAGGGACACAAGGGCAAAGGCCCTGAAGTAGGAGTTTGCTGGTGTTCTCAAGGCCTCCAAGAAGGCCAGGGTAGCTGGAACACTGAGTATGAGGGGGGAGGATAGATGATGGGGTCAGAGGTCATGCGACCCAGGTCATCTGGGCCTTGCAGACCACCAAATACTCTGTCTGAAATGGGAACTACTGGAGGATTCTGAACAAAGAAATGACATCTAAAAAGGCAGAATCAGGGAGACCAATGAGGTTACAGGAATAATCCAGTTAAGAGCTAATGGGGCCCTGGACCAGAAGGCAGGGGTAGGGGTGGGAAGAAGTAGGTGGATTCTGGATCTGCATTGAGGGTGGCACTGGCAAGAATTGCAGACGAGCTGGACTGGGTGAGAGGAGGGGAGAAATCAAGGTTGTCTCCAAGGGATTTGGCTTCAGCAACAGCAAGGATGGAGCTGTGTCACCTGAGATGGGAAGATTGGGGAAGAGCAGGCTTGGCGGGTGACAGAAGCTTGGCCTTGGATATGTTGAGTTTGAGAAGTTTATTAGACACCCCCTCTGGGATGTTGAGAAGGTTGGGGAATCCAGGAACCTGGAGCTCAGGGAGACAGCTTCTCAAGGAGTCAAACCTATACTTGGCCCGGGCAGCATGCCTGCTCTCTCAGGCTTGGCAAAAAGGTCTGGTTTTATTTCCACTTAATTTTCATTTACAAGTATGTAAAGCATTTACATGGTTCCAGAGTCAAATCTGCAAAACAAGGTGTTCAGCAACACTTAGCATCTACTCTTTCCCTCTGTCCTGTAAATAATCATTTTATTTGTTTTATGTTTTATCCATCTGCTATCTTTAATGTAAGGAAATATGAGTATCTGCCTTTTTTGGGAAAATAGTGGGCATACTACACATACTTTTTCCACTTTGTTTTTTTTCAGTTAATATTATTTAAGGTCATTTGTTTCTCTCTGCTTTTTATGTTTAGGGAGGCTCCCTCCAAACACTTTGAAGGATTTTTTTAATTGTCTGTACTGAGGTGGTTCACTGTTGCTTTCTAGCAAGCACCACCACTCTGGGTAAGGGGTAAATAGTCCCTAGAATTCCATGTGCAGAAGCTTAGAACAGAATGGGTTTTTCTGTTTCTTCCCATATTGAACTTCCAGAACTCCTGATTCTCGGTGATAGGCATGGCAGGGCATTGTCAAATGCCAAGAGGTTTCAGGGCAGGAGATGGGGACCCAGGTTATAGTCTGGCTTTGCCAAGGTCAACTGTTTGACCTTGGGGAACCCTGCTCTTGCTGTAAGACAAGTTGATCTCTATGGGCCTCGGAAGGGCGAGGCTGACCTGAACCTGTTCCTGGCAAAGCCATGGAGTAGACAATCCCATCTTAGGGAAAGTGATAAAGACAAGAGTTTGGTTATGTGAGTGCCCCAGCTCGCATCACTGGCTTCTCTGCACACAGCAAAGGGCTGCTGGGTGATATGATGTCATACGGTGGGTCACGGAGACTGGGCTATAAGCAGGAGGTAGAAGGGAGCTTGCAAAGCCAGGGGTCAGCAGGGAGCAGCCAGCTGAGCTGGTACAATTCTTGGGAGTTCACAGATGCCAGAATTTGGGTGCAATATTAAATGATCAGGCAATTAGGATGGCAGGGGGCTGCATGTTCCCCCAGGCATAAGGAGGCTGGCCCCCAAAGGCTGACCTGCCACAACAGGAGGCTCCTGCACTTTGCTTGCCCAATGCTGGACCTATATCACCGTCCCCAGGAGGGTCAACTGGACCCTGGTGGTGCAGGTCCAGAAAGTTCCCAATGCATAAGAATTGCTCTTATCCCTTCTTCTGTGGAGAAAATTACAGATCTGGAGCCACTCATCCTGTATGTTTTTCCTTCTCTCCCCACACCCCTAACCTAAACATAACTCATACATGCAAAGACAAGAGGCCAGGAAATAAATGTGCCAAAAAGAAAAATCATTGGAAGAACAAGAAAGAGCAAAACTCTGAGCCATCCCGAAGTGGCAGGCCGGGTGGAGCTTTCCACTAAGCTGTGTATCATCCGTTCCAGCCCAAAGTCCTCTCCCAAGCTTCCACCCTCGGCACTGACTTCTGCTCAGTGCAGCTAGAGGCAGAGAGGGCCCCAAACCTTGGGGACCTTGTGGGATCTGCCGAATGGCCCCAGGACATGCCGGGAGCAGCAGGACAGCTGGCTTCAGAGCCTGGGAAGGCCCAGGCATCTATCTACCCAACTCCCTTCACCTTTCTCATCCCAGATGTGAAATACGTAATCTCTGGGCTCATTAACCACAGCCCCTGCAGGGCCATGTGGGAAGGACGTGGGAGAGGAATCCACTTTCTGCACTGACTGGGTCCTGACTCAGTGTATCTTGGAAGAAAGAAAAAGAGGTCTGAACGCTCCTACCCCGGGCAGCTCGGTAATTGCAGGTTTTCGTAACACTCCGGGAAGGAAGAGTGGCTGCCCTGGAGAAGCTGGGAAGGCTTTATGGCAACCTTTCCTGGGAATGAAGCCATCCTAACCACCAGGCCACCCTAGTGTGCCTTTTCCAACTCCTCTGCTTCCCCTGACACACGGGGCAACAACCAGCCCAGCCCGACGCCGGAGGCCGCCTGCTCTCCCCTCCACAAGCCAGCATGGGTGTGTCTTGTCTCGCCCCGGATCCGGGGGCCGGAGCTTCCAGGGAGTATGGCAAGTGGAATGGGAGCATCAACCCTTCTAACCAGCCTGAAGTGCTCTGGGGGAGGAAGATGTTTCACGTGTTCTTTACAACCTATTTTGATGGGGGGAACTTAATTGCTAGCAGGCTCTACCGACACTGGCCTAAAAGGATGAGCGTCAGGCTCCGGGGTGCAAGACAAAAGTCCGAGGCTGCCTTGGACACCGGTAGACACACAGTCTGTTCTGGTAGACTCTCTTCACCTCTCAACCTCTCTTCCCTCTTCCAGTCTCATCTCCTCCTTCTCTCCAATATGCACTGCCATCATCCTCCCCACCCTCCGCATGCCTTGTGCCACCCAACCATGTGCCTCGACACCTGCTGTCCCCCTCAGTGATACCCTCTCCTAGACTTGCTGCGTGGACACCAACACAGAAGGCACACCTCCCTGACTTGCCTTCCCTCCTTGGCCTCTTAGCAATGTCCGCCACAGTCAGGTCCCACCTAGGGACCTCTGCCTCTGCTAATTCACTTATCAAAAATGTGTTCCCCACCCCCACTCTCTGCCTGGCCCCACAAGGAGACAGATCATGTTCTACCTCCTCCAGGAAGGCTTCTTGGCTACTCTAAACTCCAGAAATCTTTTCTTTCTCTCTTTCTCTGAAGTCCCAGGGCATATGGTCTGCAGTGTACTATTACATACCCACACCCACACATGTGCACTCACTGCACACAAACATGGCATACACACATGCATGAATGCCATACACATATGTACACACATGTAAAAAACACACACCACACACACATAACCATTTTACTGAGTCAATTGTTTAGCATATCTTCAGATCTCTCCAACTAGACTGTAAACCTGGATGCCTGGCACAGACCTAGGCCTGTGAGAAGAGCTCAGTAGACCCTCCCTTCCTGACCAAAGCCGCCTCCTCTGAGTCCCACTTACCTCCCTGTAAAGGGCTGGTGAAGGTCATGGTTCCCCCCTACCCTGGGGAATCATGAGGTGCATGAGGCCAACACCGTAAAGGGCTTTGGCCTCTGAAAGAACTTTCTTCTCTCCCGGAGAATGCTGCCCTGATGATGAACAGGATGCAAATGCATCCCAATAAATCGGGAGATTTGAATAATTTTAACATGGCTAATCTGATACCATCTCTTTACACTCAGCAATGCTTGAGGTGGGGCAGCCCAACCTATTTCTGGTGGGCAGTCACTGCCAGGAGAAGGTGCAGCTCCAAGGTCTCCCAGACTCCCAGCCCTGGAGGGAGAAGGTGGGGCCTCAAGCCCCACGTCCAGCCTGGCCTCGCCCCTGCTGAGGTCCCCACCTGGATTAGAGCCAGCGCTCACAGGGCAAGATGGAGGAACTGAGGACCCCAACATCCTGTGGCCTTGCTGCGAGCTGACCCCGCCTCAGGAGGAGATGGCTGGCTCTATCACCTCCAGATGCCCTTTTTACTGGACTCCAAATTGCCATCCAGCTCCATCAGAATTAAGACCCCTGCTAAAAGGCACACAGGAGTCTTGGGATGGGAAGAGTGGCTGCCACAGTGCAGGAGCCTCTACCTGTACTTTACCTCTGAGACCCCGCCCTGAGAGATGTGAGAAGTGAGGCAGTTGTGATTTCCCCGGGGGGAAGGGTCCTTCGAGGAGGAGTAAGAGTAACTACTCCGAGGTGGGCTGGTGGGCCCGCTGGGCTGCGCAGAGGCTCACAGGCGTGGCCCGAGGGAGAAAGGGGCAAGCTGGTTTCTTTCACAATGCTGGTCTTGCAAAACAAAAAACCTTGGGCAGATGCTGACAGAATGTTCCTCCTTCTTCTCAGCTCTCCTAGTTGCTCTGTGGTGGGACAGGCCATCTCACCCGCCATGCTTTCTGAGCACCCACCTAGAAGCTCTTCACTGAAGCTGAGGCTGGTAAGCGTCTGTTCCTTTCCCGCCCCTGCTGCCAGACACTCCTGTCAGGCCCTCTGTGTCCCTTGCTCCTCAACCACAGGAAGCACCCTGGGGCTTGGGCATGGCTCCCACAGGCCCCATCGGGCTCCACATCTGACCCCGCACCCAGTCTCTCCCCAGGACAGCAGTGGCTGGTGAGGAGCCCAGCCAGTCCTCTTCAAACACTGAGGCTGGGTGGGATCTGAGGGACCTGACGTGTGGGGACCACCACTCCCAGAGTGGCAGAGGACTGAGACGCAGTCACTGGGTGACCAAGCTGGGCCTTCAACTCCTCGCCTGCACCCCGCCTGGGCTTCTTCCACTTTCCTTTTGCCAGCTTTGCCCCTCACCCTTATCTGTAATCTGGACTTGATGAAGTCAGTCCTCAGAAGATGCCCAAGAGCCTCAGGAAACTACCTCCCCCAGGGCAGCTACACCCCGGAAGGCACCACAAGGAGCGTCAGTTTTTAACCCGGGGGAGGCCTGTGCTGCTGCTGAAAGCCCAGCAACAGGCCCCAGGGCCTTGCCAAAGAACATTCACTCACATTGCAACTGTAATATTATTAATACGTAGATGGAATGTCTATGGAGACTACACCATCCTCTGCAGAGAAGAACAAAGGACCCCCAATGGAGGACCACATTAGGAGCCCTCCTCTGCCTGCACTCTAGGCTGAGACCCCAGGCTGTCCCTGGGGAGTGGCTGGTGTGGATGGCGAGCGTTACACTGCTGGGCCTGCTGCTCTGCAGTCCAAAAGATGGCATGTGCACAGAAGGGGCTGGTCAGGGATGGGTCACCACGGGCGAGAGAACCCCCTTAACCCGAAGACGCTGTTGTGTTAGCGCTAGGCTTCGGACTTAGAGAAGAGGCCCCGCTGGAGTGGGGACTGCCCATGGAGGGTATGGGAGGGAGGGTCCCACGCAGGGCAGGGTCTGGGCTGGCCAGCCCCATCCCTGGTGGGACCTCCTGTCTGTGCACTGCCCTGCTGGTCTCCTTCCCTTCCTCCCTCCCCTCCCGCCTTCTCAAGTCCTTCCTTAATAACTTCAGGGAAGCAGGGCACACATGACTTCTGGTTTTCCTGGTCTTCCAAACTCTGTTGCTATCCCTAGCTACTCCCAGCTACCCTGAATCCTGAGGTCTCCATGGTGGTATTTGCCAAGGCATTTTGAAGGCTCCATGTCAAAATGCAATCCCAGGGACCTTCATCCTCTGGGCAGGGAGCCAGCGGGCATGCGAGGCCAATCAGATGGCCTGCACCCCAGCCCTGAGACATGTGTCTCTCAGAACTGCTGTGTGGGGTCTGAGGCATAGAGCACACTGGGGAATGGGGCAAGACAGCCTGTCGCCCCGTGGGGCCTCTCTTCTGGCTTTCCTGTTACCTGTGCTTGGGGAGATACTCATTCCTGGCAGTGAGGAGGGGCAGGGGATGTGAGCTCCAGCCAGAAGGCCTGGGTCTCCCCCAAGAGGCAGGTGAGGGCAGAGGCAAAAAGGTGACCTCAGGTTGCTGCACTCTTGTATCCTCAGCTGTCCAGTGGAAACGGAAATATCCTTCTCTTTGGAGTTGTTGGGGAGCACGTGACCATCTAGCTCAGGATTTGCTGACCGTGGCCAAGTGTGCCTGGACCCTCCACTGCCACCTGTTTTTGTGAATCAAGTTTGCTGGGACATAGTCCCTTCATTTACATCTTCAGCTGGATTACAGGCCCAACCTGATCCAAACTAAGGAGGTCTTCTTTTACTGGTTTATATGTTTAGTTTTCATTCAAGATTTTGTTTGATGAAACGTCATCCATCTCTGCAGCCCCTTGCTTAGCAAAAACAAACTAAGCTCTTCCCCGGTGCCCTGAGCTGCGCCTGGGAAAGACTGCTTGAGACGTGGTTTGTGCAAGAAAGGAAAGAGAGGCCAAATGGGTCCCACTCCGGCATAGGGAGGGGTGCCGACGAGGAGCCAGTGGTGGGGGACCAGGAAACTTCCTCTCTCCAGAATCCCCTGGGAGTCTCCCTATTTCTAAGGGTGTGTCCTGGATCGACCTCAATTAGGGCTCTGCATTCACCTCACTCCACGATGTCCCCCTCAGGTCGGGGGACATGGCACAGTCCTCAGCGGGCCTGGTGGCCTGCAGATGGGCCTGAAAGCTGCTCCCCAGGGGTAGCATTCTGATTTCCTCCAGGCCATGCTTCTGAGCTAGGACCCTGGAGGGAGTGGCCCTTGTGGTCTTTGGAGCCCTGGCAGTAGGGGGCAGTGTTTCTCATTCCCAGATATACCTCAAAGAAGATCACCACGGGTGTGTGTGTGTGTGTGTGTGTGTGTGTGTGTGTGTGTGTGTGTGAGTGTGAGTGCTCAGTGACCACCTCTTTCTCTTTCGCAGCCTCTTAATTCTTCTCTGCATGCCTTCCTCCCCTTGCCAGGACTCAGACTGCTCCACCCCAGGCTTCTCTCCTCCCCCAGCCACCCTGCCTGGCTCCCTAGGCCCCGGAGAATTTCCACAGAGCAGGGCTTTCTAACAGAACTTTCTGCACCATCCAATGTGGTAACCATTAGCTACATGTTGCTAACAGAGCACTGGAAATGTGGCTGAAGAACTAAAATTTTAACTTCACTTAATTTTTAACTGACTTAAATACCACAGTGGCTACCGTATTGGACAGCACAGCTGTAGGCAAAAGGGGTTTATTATCACTTCATTCCAGTGACTGCCTTTGGAGCCAGAGCCTCCTCAAGTACTTCTAGTGAAGCCATCAGAATGGAGGGGGAAGAGCATTTGCATGACTGGAAGGGAATGATTAAAGAGGGCCTCTTTGCCCATCACCACCGTGTGGCCCCTCACAACCTGTCATCATACCCACCAAAACATTTCCACTTCTGAGGGACATTCCCGCTCTCCCCACCACAATATCTGGTCTATCCAGGCAGGACAATGCTCACCCCGACAGGCAGGAAACTCTAGTCACCACTTAATCTGGACTGCATGAAAAAGAAGCACATGTCCCTCGGCACAGGGCCAAAGTTCTTGAACCCTGTGGAAAAGAATCTGGATATTCCGATGTCTGGGACCATCCTCAGGTCTGCAAGGTCTTGAGTAAATCACGTGGTCTCTCTGAGTCTCACCTATGCTACTCTCCTAATGGGACACCTACATCTGTCTTACCTGCCTCCCAGGCCTGCTGCGGGGCTGCTGGGTAAGACAGCTTTATTTGTGTTGTTAATTATTTGTAGTCTTTTCTCTCCTACCCAAGGAAGCCTTCCCTGTCTGTGTTTGACAGATTCTAGTATTTTAACATGCTTCCAATTAAAGCCCAATGTTTTATAATCACTGGGATTATAAAGTTTAAGGGAAAATGAGTATATGTGTGAGTGTGAGGGTGTGTGTATCTTGGCGAGGTTCCTTTTCCTGGAACTACCTGCTGGACCCCATGGAGGACAGGTATGCTCCAAAGCTCAGACACCACCACCCTCTGGCTTAAAACCTCCTGCAGAGAGGAAACCTTCTTACTCATGCTCTGCTGTGGAGAGAAGCCATGGACAGGGAGGATGGAAATATAGAGGAGAGGACAGGATAAGGAAGGCATCCTTGGAAAGATATGAAGTTCAACCAGAAAAGAGAAACACAAACCCTCAATGCACTCAAAGCTACTGGTGGATTTTACTAGATCATTCAAAATGAAAAAAAATTAAAAAAGTCAACGACACAGGAAGGAACTAGAAACAGATAAAAATGGGCCCCAATGGTCTCTGCCCACTGGTATTCACACCCTGTGTCATACTTTTCCACAATGCGCAGGGCTAGACTGTGTGACCAACAGAATGGGTCAGAAGGGATGTTACTTTCAAGATTAAGTTATAAGACCTAACAGCTTCTTTCTCTTTCTCTCAGATCACTCATTCTGTTGTGAGCACCATACAGAGAGGCTGATATGGCAAGGAAATGAAGGCTCTGGCCAACAGCCAGTGAGGAACTGAGGCCTGCTGACCACCGTGCCAGTGAGCGTGGAAGTGGGTCTTCCAGGCCCATCTGAATCAAGTCTTCAGGTGGTCACAATCCCCACAAAAGCTCAGCCACAATCTCGAGAGAGCCCCTGAGCCAGAACCACCCAGTTAAGACGCTCCTGGGTTCCAGACCCTTGGAAACTGTGTGCTTTAACAAATGTTTGTTGTTGTAAGCCCTAAGTTTTACAGTAATTTGTTATGCGGATAGATAACCAATACAAATATCCAGGACAGTCTCCATTTCCAGCAAACTATCATTGGAAATAACAACTGGCAGCGTTCCACACACACACACACACACACACACACACACACACTACATAAACACAGGCATGTGTATACTACAAGCACAAATATCATAAGCCCTCATGTTTGTGTAGACCTTGGCATTTTACCTGCTATCAGAGCATCATCTCATTTGAACCACACAACAGTCTAGAAGGTAGATGTCCTATTTCATATGGCTTTGAGGTTCCACATCTAGCCATGAGACCCAGACCAGCTCTAAACAAGTCAGCACACTCCAGGAGCCACCCACATGTTGGGTAGCATCCTAAGCCCTGCAGTGGCTCATGTTAAGTGACTTCTAGAATGTAAAGACTTCTAGAAAAAAAAAAGGATGTCTGCCTAAAGTGGGATGGTTTTTGGCTTTTACGAGCTGAAAACCCTGCCTTCCAAAAATATAATCCATCCACTCTCCTTACTCTACCCCCAACATGTACTGACCTCCCAGTGTCCTATGAACTCTCAGTACTAGTTCATTCTCTTAACTCTGGGTAATCTCTGAAGGCTCCAGTGGGAATGTAAAGTGACTGCCTGGGTTATGCACAAAGGCCAGATGGACCGCTGACACCCCAGTTCCCAGGGCAGGATGCAAGACTGGGAAGTCTGGGCAGACGAGAGAACAGCGGGAGGTGAGGGTGGATGCACAGCAGAGTTGGTTTTCTCCAACTGCGTGCAGAGTAAGCAGCACAATAAAAACATACGAGGGCTTCAGCCAGGAAAGGGTGCCCAAGAGGCCCCTGCTGTCCTGAGGGCAGGGAGACCAGAATCAGACGGTGGGGCCTTGGGAAGGAGCTGACCTTTGTGGGTCCTGCCTAGAAGGCTCCTAATGACCACATTCCCTGTCCCACTCCTGACCATGTATCTCCAATCTTCTGGAACCTCAGGGCCAAGTCAGAATCCTGTCCTCTGCCTGTCCCGCCACGGTCCCCGCCCAGCTCCTCTGAGCCATGGCTGCAGCCTGCAGCTCAAAGGCACCAGGTTTCCTGTGCAGGGTGACCAGGCTGTGCCATCTGCTCCCTGACGCACTGAGCCAGCCTGGAACATGTGTTTACTGTGGTCACTTGGCCACCAGACCAAACACACATGCAGCCCCATTTAGTATTTTTTTCTTCTTAAAAACATTTCTCATTTTTGTTTTGAGTCCACACACAGCTTTTCTGAGTTCATTGTCAGGACCGACAAACAGAAAGCCTGAAACTGATCCTCTGTTCACAGAATCCTCCCCTTGAAGTTGACAAAACCAGAGTTAGAAGACAACTGAAGGGCACTGCAGCCCTGAGGGAGGGACTAACTGCAGATTATGCTGCCTGGGGAAGCTGCTTTTGTTCTGGGCTCACCTGTTTACCTGGAGAGGTGGCTTGGCACCCCTCCCCTCCCCACTAGCGAGCAAGGATCCTGCGTGCTCTCAGGCTGCCTGCTCCCCGGGAGTCCCCCAGCAGCACCTGCTCCAGGGGACCCGGGGGACTGGAGGAGTGCTCTCCTGGGCCACCCCAGCTTGACCCACCCCGGCGACTGTGGGGAAGGTCAGGGAAGAGGACCAAGGGAGGGCAAAAAGGAGCTTGGGTAGTCAGGTGAGAAAGGCCTTAGGCAGAGGGGCTGGCTAGGCAGGTAAGGGGGTGGGCAGAGGGGCCTAGGCAGGTCCAGCAGGCACAGCTTCAGGGAGCGGAGAGGAAGGGCAGGTGCGGCAGCAGGGGGGTGGGCAAAGGGGCCCAGGCAGGTCCAGCAGGCATGGGTTCAAGGAGGGGAGGGGAGGGGAAGGGCAGTGCGGCAGGGGGTGGGCAGGGTGGCCCAGGCAGGTCCAGCAGGTACAGCTTCAGGGAGCCGAGGGGAAGGGCAGGTGCAGCAGGGGGTGGGCAGAGGGGCCCAGGCAGGTCCAGCAGGCACAGCTTCAGGGAGTCGAGGGGAAGGGCAGGTGTGGCTGGCGCTGGTAGAAGGTTCTGAAGGTCTGTGAGAAAGGTTATATGCTATTATTTACTTCACTTCTCTGTATGAGTTAACTTTCCTATCTATAAAATGGACATAAGAGCAGTATCTCCTTCCTAGGGTTGTTGAAAAGATTATTAATAATTCAGAATGCCTCTAAAAACTGCTACAAGGTTAATGGGCTGGTAACTGTAAGGTTTAAGCTCCCCATGCCCCATGAATTGCTGGTGGGTTTGAGCATCCACCCACAAGCTGGACCTACAGAGCTTGTCATGGGTGTGGGCCTGTCCACTCTTGGTGCTTAGACTGTCTGTCTCTTTGTCCGTCCAGACCTACTTGGAAAGAACTGGCAGTTATATCCATTCTGCATTTTGAAGGGCACTAGGGTACCTGCAGGTCTACTGACACAAACTACCACTTCAGAGACGACCACTGGGCATGCCAGTAAATTGGTCTGAATTTCCCCTGTGGCAGCTAAGCACAGACACCACCTCTGAGGACCTAAAGGCCCGTCATCTTGAATAACTTTAATTCTGTTGCTGGTATCTTACCTAATTGAGCCCCTGTATCCCTTCTGGAAACCACGGCTCCCCAAAATACTCCAAACCATAATAGAGGCCACTTTGGCTTCCCCAAAACACACACATTGGAATAAATGACTAAAATTAAATTACTGGGAAGACTCAGAAATAACTCTTGGAGCTCAGGGTAAGTGCTGACCCAGGCAAGCAGGCACTTTGGTATTTTTAAAACCTGTGCTCCCGTCCCTGCTGGGAAGCCTTGGGGAGCCTAAGGCACCCTAGTCCTTGGGGTTTGTACCCCTGGGACTTGGGGAGCTGGCAGCTCGAGGAAGCCCTCTCTGGCCAGAATGCCCTCCCTGAAAGCTGCCCACCATTCTATAACTCATACCACCCCCTTCTTCCAGCCTCTCACCAGGTGGGGCACCCCCCCAACAGCCTAGGAAATCTCTAGGCTACTACAGGGACCTCCTAAATATGTCCCTGCATGAATAACCCAACCAGGGAAGGGATCTACAGTTGTGACGGACCTGGTGCAGGGGCAGAGGGAGGGTAGCCTGCCTGAAACCTCCTCATCCATTCATTCCTTTGACTTAGGCACTAGCTCTCCCCTCAGTCCATTTGAAAAGAACAGCTGCCATGCTGTTACCACCCCTGGCACATGAGTTAATCAGGGTGTGTGTGTTAGAAGGCGGTGAGGGACCCAGAAGGGGGAGGCCAAGCAGGCAGAGAGGACAGAGTTTTCCAGCAGAGACCTGGGAGGGGGCACAGGCTCTGAGACCAGACCACTTGGGTGTGTGGTGTGGTTCAGCTGCTCCCAGCTCTGCAGCTCTGGGCAAGTTACTTCACTTTTCTATGCAACTTATTTTTCTCATGGGTAAAATGGAAATACAAACACCATACATCCTTCCTAGGGTTGTCAGGATGATCAAATGAGCTGATACTTGTAAAGGGCTCAGTGGGTCCTCTAAGCATTCTGGAAGTGCTCATTAAATTGCTAAGTGACTTCCAGGGCACTGAGGGTGGGCTGGGCTTGCCTGTGGGTCCAGCAAAAAGGCCCTAGAAACAATGAGATGCACAGTGCACCCAACAGGCAAGGTGGTCCCAGGCAGCATCCATCTCAGGCAGCCAGAGTGCTGGGAGAAAGAGGATTCAGCCAGCCATGGCTGGGTGCCCAGGGTGCAGACCTGGACCAGGTTTGGTCCCAAAAGATGTACGTAGGAGCAGTAGATTTGGCCTGCCTTTCTGGAACTTCCTGGAGAGGGTACATGGGCTGCACTGAAGATAGAAGGGGCACCAGTTATTTGTACTGTAAGCCCCAGCTGGCCTCTGGGACTTCTTGTGTACCTGCCATCACATGTCATCCCTGCAGGCTGCACATCACTGTCCTTGGGACAAGAAGAAGAGCAGGCTTGGCGAGCACCCCATTTCCTCAGGATCCCCTGCCTGGTGAGGGACAAGCTTGTCTTGAAGCCAGTAGGGCTAGCTCAGGCCCTGGGCTGCCCACCATGCACAATGCTCCCAGGGAAGGCTTGGAGCCAGAAGCCCAGTCACTCGGGGCCCTCAGAGTCCCCTGTTTCCATCTGCCCCAGCAAGGTAGGAAGGGTTGGGGGTGCACATCTGTGAGCCAGCTCCCAAATGCCTAGCATTGCTGAGAAGGAGAAGTTAAGACCTCTGAGGAGGAGTAACTGAACCAGTTCAGGTGGCTGGTCCCTGGGGTGTCCATTCCACTGCCTGACCCAGACGCAGACCCAAGGGAGATGGCATTTCCCCTTCTACAGCCAGTTTCCTCATCAACCCACCTGCCCTCCAGGCCACCAGGCATTTGCCCCCGCTTCCTCTTTTGTCAGCTTCCGTGACCTCCTCTGCCATCTAGGGGTCAGGGGGCTCTGAATGAATCCCAATAGCAGGATAAAGGGGAAGAGAGTTAGCAAGAAAGAGCAACGCTCAGCTTCCCAGCAGTGGGCACAGACTGGGAGATGCCACTGCAGGGTGGGTAGGCCATAGGCCCCACACCAGGAGGTCTGTCAAGATGCACAGACTGGCCCCTGCGTGAATGCAGGCCCTGGGCCAAGAGACATGCTGGTCCTTCCCTAGAAGAGGATCCCAGGGCCTTGTTTCCTTTCCCATGAAGTGAGATGTGGAGAGCGGTTCCGCGGTTCCTGAGCATGAAGCATGTGCCAGGAAAGGGCATCTCTGAGAGTGCGCCTCGCTCATCGGTGAGTGGTGGGCCGCCTGCCCAGGGCCCCCTCGGCAGCCCATTATGCCTGCAGTGCTGGGTGACTCAGTGCACTGGTGAAAGGATCATCTGTGATTTGCACCAAGGCCGGGAGCTTCTCCAGGGGTGTCAGGGCCTTCACATCCATCACACAGATGTGGACATCTGGCTTCAAGAAATGAGCTGTTCTTCTTTCCAAGAGCACCCGCTTGGGGGTGGGCGGTGGGGAGGAGGAGAAGGTTCCTAAAAATAA